ATGAGTAGGTCTGAGTATGAGTAAGTCTGAGTATGAGTAAGTCTGTGTATGAGTAAGTAGAGGAGGAGGGAGGAGAAGGAGGAGTAGGAGGCGTCCAAGTAATAACAAGAACCCCATCTTAGGATATGGAGAAAAATCAAAATCACGACGTCAGGGGTTTGGGCCTGCATCGTTTTCCTGCAACGCGCCCCGTTCATTGACAATCATATCCCTGCACCACTGGTTGGGATCCGCGTGAAATTGTCATGCGGGGCTCAAGAGAGGAGAAGGAAAAAGACGAAGAGGAGACTAGGAGGCCCGAGGTGCGCTAGCTCTTTTGTCTCTCTCTCTCTCTCTCTCGTCACTGTTGCCATGGTCTTCTCTACTCCTCTGCGCACGTTCGTCCACAGAGCTTTTCTTGCCCAGCTGGGATTTCGAACAGAACAGGAGGTCGATTGGGAACCGAGCAAAGCGAGGCTCGCAACGAACAGGAGAGGGAGGTTTCCACCTCCAGTTTCAGGCATTCCTGTTCCCTGGCGAGGCCAGACGCGGCGTCCCGACGCATTCCAGTGTACCTCGGTACTGTCCTGTCCTGCGGCGTCTCGTCGTGCCCCGCGGTGCCTCGGGGGGACGCGTCGACCCCGCGTTCGCCCATGGATCGCCGACAAGGGCCCGATGGCCCCCAAAACCTGCCCAGAAACGTGCGGATTTGCCATCACAGGCCTAACGCCGAGCCATCGGTGACGTATCGCAGATTCCAGGTCGATGATTCCCCCTTCCCCTATGGTTCCCCCCCGCTCCCCCCCTATGTCAGCCTCCCCCCCCTATCGTTGCACCTCGATAATGGGGACTGAAGACGCGATGGCGGCCAGCTGAACGGAACGAGCCGATCCGTTGCGCTTGCCCCTGGCGCAGATATTGGCAGGACTGTGCCTTCAGAGAAACTTGGCGGCCAGGGTCAGCTAGAAACGACTGCGAGTCTGCATCAGATGTCCATCCTCTCCATATCATCCCCCCGCCCTGCTCCCGTCACTCCTCCTCTTCCGCGTCGCCGCCTCCGAGGAGGAGCGGAGATCACAGGTAGGAGCTGCCGATGTGGTACACGCATGAGTGCCAGGCGCAAGTATCGCATGGGCCTTTTGACATCTCCAGTGCTATGACGAGCAAGCGCGGCGCCCTCCGTCGCGCCCCAGCGTGCCGCCAACCCTTCGCCAAGGGGGACCTTCGGGCGTGCAGCCCTGAGCTGGCCAGCCCGCTTTACTGCCACGTTGCCTGCGTGGAGGGCGGCTTGGGGCCCTGCGACAGGGTGCAGGGGACGGCGGCACTCTCGCCAGAGCTGCAGAATGTCGCCCGCGGCTACTGCGACCGCCCTGGCTTGCCTACCCGGGCAGAGCACATCATAGACCATGGCGGACCCAGGGCGCGAAGACCGACCCCGACACTGCCCCGCAGGCTGCAGCGCTGGGCGTGCTCCTGCTCGAGGAGGAGGATGGGGCGCTTGGCCCCGGCCCAGGGGATCCCTCCAGCAGCCTGCCAGCCCAGCCCGCCAACATGGAATGGTGGGACACAGTGAGTGGACTGCGACGCCTTGGAGCACTAATATCCCAGGATCCTCCAGGTGCTGGCGGACATGAGCGCGGCCCTGGCACAGCTCCGCGGGCGCTTGGCCGAACGCCTCCTGCACGCGCGGACTGTAGGCGATGCTGTTGCCCAGGCCAGGGCGGAGAAGGCTTTCACGTTTTTGCACGTTTTGACAGGGTCATGCTGTTCAGCCCGGAAAAGTTCACAGGGGTCAACGGGACGGGCGAATAATTCGGGTGCCTTGACCAAGATCCTTACGCGAAGCTTGCGGATGGCGGAGCAGGGGGACCCGGGAGGGTTTCGGTGCGACTCCACAACGGTCGTGAGCCGCAGGCCGAGGAGAGGCGGAGGAGGAGGAGGAGGACGAGGAGGAGGAGGAGGAGGAAAAGGAGGAGGAGGAGGAGGAGGCAGCGCCCCAACGGCCAAGCAGGACGCGCGGGCGGTCGAGTCCCTACTGGGTGAGCACCCCATCAGTAAGGCGATGCAGCGAGCATTCCGCCCCGGCGCTCTGGCCTCCGGGCCTGGCGTCCACGCCGGCCTCCAAAGCCTCTTCCCAGAGGGGCCAGAGCAACGCCTCCTCCAAGCGCCGGCCGCTCCTGACGACGACGTTCGCGCGGCCCTGGCCGTGGCCGCGTCCAAAGGCTTGGCGAAGTGCCAGCGACGCTCTGGCCCCCAGGGCCGAACGGCAGCAGGTCTGAGCATTGGCGCACGCTGCTGGCCGACACCCCTGCCTTCAAGGCGTTTGCTCGCGTCGCAGTCGCTTGTCCTGCTCGGCGATCTCAGCTCGGAGCCGACGCGCGCCAACCTGGGCGCCCGATTGGTGGCCCAGCGCAAGCGCAACGGCACGCTCCGGCCGATCGCCTGCGGCTCCGCGCTCCGCCGACTCGCCGCGCGGGCCCAAAACACGACATGCAGAAAACAGTCGGCCCTCACCAGCACGCCGTCGGACGGCAGGCGGGTTTCGAGCTCTGCGCAAATAAATGCCTCACTGCCCTCTCGGAGGCACGCCCCCTCGGCGTCGCGTTGGCCTTCAACAGCAGTCCTCGTGGCAAGTTGATCGACACAGAGCGCGGCGGAGGGCGCCCTGGCTGCTCCAGAGCATTCAGCTTTGGCTCGTGGGAACCACCCAGCATTTCTGGTGGAACGACCCTGCCGACGGCGCCCACCGCGTTCGGGCCAGCACGGGCGTGGATCAGAGGTGACCGCTATCCACGGCGCACTTCGCTGTTGGCATTGCAAACGCGCTCGACGATATCTTCTCGCGTATCTGGGCGTTCTCGCCCTCTTGCCGGGCGTTCAACTGCCTCGACGACATCATGGTCTTCGCCCCACCAGAGCACGCAGACGCAGCCAGGCAGTTTGTTATTGACATCCTTACGTGGCACGGCCTAGCAGCCAATCAGACCAAGACCCAAGCGCGGTCCGCTGGAGCTGGGCGGACCACCTAACAGTTTGGGAAACACTGCCCCGTGGCTCGATCAGGGACAGGGAGGAGAGGATGAGGATAGAGAAAGGGTGTCCGTCCACGCCAGCCTAGACAGGACAGCGGCCGCGGCCAAGGCAGCGGCGTTTGCCGCCAGCCTGCAAGAGCTGCGGCAGACGGGCCTCTGGGCTGAGAGTGCGCGCACTCTCCTGCAGACGTTCGCTCGCGGATGCGTCGCGCGCCACCTCCGAGTCATCTTGCAGAGGGACTGGACGGAGCAGCTAGACCGAGTTCTCTCCGGCTGCCTCGAGCAGCTAGCCGGCGGCCCCCTGGACGCCCCGCAATGTCTGCAAGCCACGGTGCGTTTCGCCGACAGCGGTTGCGATTCCCTTCCAGCTACCCTGACGGCGCCCGCCGCGTGCGCCGCCAGCTGGGCCCTCCTGCTCCGCGACGTTACGAGGTGCCTCGGGGCCAATTCGCTGGAAGAGTTCCGAGCGCGCTGCCCGCGAACGCAACGGACGCTCGATCAGGCCGAGGCGACGCTCCAAGCTGCTTCCGCGGCCAACAAGGCGAAATTGTTGCAGACGCTCGAACGGCGGCACGGGACGGAGCAGGCAGCTGGCTCTTGCCGCGACTGGCACTCCGCTTAGCACAAGGAGCTCACCAGCTTCGCGGCGCCCACGGAGCAGGCCGCCCCTGCCTGGGATCGCCGCCACCCCCACACCGGGGTGCTGCAGCAAGCCGTCCTTCTCTCGACCAGCGACCCGGCCACCGGGCGCCACGTCTACGTCGACTGGGCAATCACCTCCGCATACCTACGCTCCACGCATGGGTGCCCGGGCAGACAGAGACGGTTTGGCGGCCGCCCAGACGGTGGAACAGAAGCGGGCGAGCCGGCCCCCCTCGGCTTCGAGACAGGGGGCTGGCCCAGCGACGAAGCCGCCAGCGTCGTCCGCAGCTTCGAAGCCGACTGGAACAACGGCGAGCGCTCGCTCCGAGCTGCTGAGCAGCCTTTGGCGGCAGATCTGAAGAACCTTCCAAAGGGGTAATGTTGAGATGCTGCTGAGCGCATTCGGGCGCTAGGCGAGCAGCCCCCCCCTCCGCTTGGTCCACAGCGACCGCCGCCAGCGCAGTGACCACCACAAGCGGCCGCGACCACAGCCACGAACCCAGACCACCACGACCGCCAACAGCACTACAACCACAGCCACCACCACCACCACCACGACGACGACTTTGAACGCGACGACCCCCACGACCACCGACGCCGCGACCACGACCAGCGCCGGCACATTCGCCGCCGTCGACCAGCACCACGACCACGACCACGGCCAGCACGACGGTGCCATGACCACCACCACTGCCAGTATCACCACCGACCCGACCGCCCCCGCCCCCGGCCGCCTCTCTCCTTTCCTCTCCCTGCCCGCGTTGGGCCGCCCTTGGTGCCGCACGCGCCTTGCGCTTCGCCTCCGCCTTTTTCCTCGCCCCTCCCTTTCCTCTGCATTTCTCCTTTCATAATTCAGTGAATTATTAGAACTTTCACTTAGCGACCGAAATCCAAGGGACCAGTTTTTCAAGAGCTGCGTTCGCGAGGTGGCGTTTTTTTGTGGTTAGGGACCCAGGACCAGAACCCCAACGCCCGGGAGCCCCCCTTGGTGACAGGGGGGGGCCCACTCGGGTGCCCCTGGGCCTTTTTCGGCGGAAGAGGAGGTGGAGGGTGAATGAGTGGGAGGCGTGGGAGACAGATGGAAGGGGGGAAGCGGAGGAGGAGGAGAAGGAGGAGGAGAGGGAGGGAGGGAGTGAGAGGAGAAGCCCAGCAGAGAGTAAGAGGACGAGGGCGAGCACAACAACAACGACGACAACGACGACGCAGAGGGCCGTGTTGGGTGCAGTCAAGCTAGAGCGCTGGGTCATGCGTATGCGGCATCGGGCGTATCCCACAGCAGTGCCACTCGGACCCGTACGCTCTGGCTGCAAGCGTGGAGCACTGCCTTTGCGCCCGCTCCTGCCGCAGGCTGCTCACCATGGATGAGCAGGGTGTCGAAGGCCTGGCCGTCGAGGGGGACTCGGTCACGCGAAGGGGACTGATTGAGCGGAGCAAGTGGACGAAGGATTACGCTTGAGCGGGGAAGGAAAGCGGAGACGCGATGTTTTTGGGCGCAGAATGTTTGTGTGTGTGTGTGTCATAGTTTCGGCTGGGCAGGTCAAGTCTGGATGCGAGTCGTTGGCGAGTTGGTAGAGGAAGCCAGATGCTGCAAAGAGGGTACCATGATACAGTAGAAGAGATAGATAAGAGGTCAGAGGAGCAGGCTGTGAGGGAAAAGCGGTTTTGTCCCCGAGATGTGGTATCGATCCATTGCGTGAGTGCCCCGATGTTCCGTGGTGCCAGTCAGGCTCAGGGATTGCATTTAACACACACACACACACACATACGTATATAAATATATATATAAAGTGGGGCTCGTTGTTTTTGACCCTGAGATTGCTCTATCGGGCTTGCCAGACAGATCAGTGTGGCGACAAGAATGCGGGATCGGCTACAGCACTGCAGCACTACTCCCATCGTCACTGTCGCATACGTCTGAGTCTGACTTTCAGTCCATCCCCCCACACCCCATCGCATTCCTACCCATCCTCCTCCGCCTCCTCCTCCTCCTCCTCCTCCCCCTCCGCCTTCCTCCGCCTCCTCCTCATCATCATCATCATAATTATCCTCCTCTTGGCCAGGGCCCCAGCGATACTGACAGATGTGTGGGTCCACTGCCACATCCGACACTGTGCCGCGTCGTCCGCCCAGCAGGGCACCCCCCTCTCGCTGATGCCAGTCTGCGTCTTCTCGCGACTGCTGGCGCTCTGGCAGGCAACGCCTTCCACCGAGACGTCCAGGCTTGTGCCCTGCGCAACGGGGGCCCCCCGGAGCTCTCGACCTCATCTCCTGGATCAGTTTGTCCGCCGCACATCGCTCGTCCTGGACCCGAGGCCAGGGATCGGCGGCGAGCGAGGGGGGGGCAAGCGAGAAGGAGGAGGCCTTCTCAGAAGGCGGCGGGACTTCTCAGAAGCCCTCGCGCCTTCTTGAGAGGTCTCCTGCGTCCTCTCTGGGGAGGGTCGGGAAGCTTCTCAGCAGGCCAGGCAGCCTCCGAGCCTTCTGCGAAGGCCCGCCCCTTCTCGCTGTCCCCCTCTGGGCGCGCCGCCTGGGAGAGCGGCCAGCCCACAGACGCCAAAAAACTCACGGGAAACACGCAGAGACCCGCGGTGCTGCTCGGCGGCGCGAGGAGGGCAGGCCCCCCTTGGGACGCGCCCTGGCCGCAGCACCGCGGCGGCTCCCCGGCCCTGGCTGCGAGGGCGCCCCCCAGAGGCCCAATTGAAGATCCCAAGGCACCCGCAAAAGACGTCAGCACTCGGCCCGGTCCTCGAGGTACGCGAGCTCTGGGGAGGCTCGGGGGGGAAAGCCGCATCGCCCGCGGGCCGCTGCGCCCTGGACCGCCTCAGCCCCAGACCGCCTCTGCCAGCGGACCGCCTTAGCCAGCGGACCGCGTCGCCGTGGACCGCTTCTCTGGCAGACCAGTTCGCCACGGACCGACTCCGTGTGGACCGCTTCGCCCCGCACGCACGACTCACCCGTTAGGGTCCGCCCGCCCAGCTCGCCAGTCAGGGTCCGCACGCCCGTTCGCTTGCTTGCAATCCCACCCACTTGGCGTGCTGTCCCACCCGCCCGTTCGTACCCTCCCGACCCGCCCGTCAGGGTGCGCCCGCCCACCCCACGTGCTTGCAAACCTCCCCGCGCGCCTCGATGCCCCGCCTGCGCGACACGCCCGTCAGGGCCCGCCCGCTTGCCTGCAATCCCCCCCCCCGCCCGCTTCCATGCCTCGCCTGCCCGACCCGCCCGCCAGGGCCCGCCCGCCCGTCCCGCCCGGTGGGGCCCGCCCGCACGATGCGCCCTGTGCGGGTCGGACTGCTGCGGGCCAGCGGGCAACGCGGTGCCGTGCCGCAGGTGCCCTGGGCTCTTCAGAGATCGCAGGGCGCTTCGCAGCCGCGCCCCGCAGGCGGAGGCGGCGAGCTACGCGGCCAAGCTGCGGGACCTGCGCCCGCCCGAGGCGTTTTTGCTCGGGAGAGGCGGGCGCGGCGCCAGCGCCTCGGTCGCCTCCTCCTCCTTCTCCGCCTCCCCCTCCTCCTCCTCCTCCTCCTCCTCCTCCTCCTCCTCCTCCTCCTCCTCCTCCTCCTCCTCCTCCTCCTCCTCCTCCTCCTCCCCTCCTCCTCATCCTCCTCCTCCTCATCATCATCATCATCCTCATCCTCATCCTCATCCTCCGCATCCGCCTCCTCCTCCACCTCCTCCTAGACCTTCTCATCCTCATCATCCTCCGTTTCCGCATCCTCGTCTTGCTCCTCCTTCCCTTCCTCATTCTCTTCCTTCGGCAGAAGGGAGGGAAAGGGGAGGAGCTTCAGCAGGGGGAGGGGTAAGGAGGTTTTGCTGGGCTCAAAGGGGGGACTCCAGGGCGAACGAGGAGAGGAGGAGGAAGAGGAAGAGGAGGAGGAAGAGGAGGAGGAAGAGGAGGAGGAGGAGGAGATAAGAGGTAGGAGGAGGAGGGATTTGGGGGGTCAAGGGTGGTCAAGGGGGTAACGAATGGGAGTGAAGAGGAGCAGAGGGAGGCCTTTTGAGGAGGAGGAGCAGCAAGGAGCAAGGAGCAAGGAGGGGGAGTGGGAGAAGAATGATGAGAAGTGAGTTGAGGCAGTGGGGGGAAGGAGAAGGGGAAGGATTAAGAGCGGAAGCAGGAGCCTCAGCAGGAGGCGGCTGCGCAGCGCTTCGATCGCCTCATCAGCATCAGTAGTTGCAGCAGCGTTCTGCATAACCTCGTGCTCGTCCTACTGCGCCTCATAGCTGGCCTTCTCTGCCCATCTCCTCCCGTAGATAGACAAAAGAGTGGAACCCTTCACTCCGCCCCCCCCCCCTCCCCCCAGTTTCAAGGTCGGTCCCAGGCATTCGGCAGCACAGGCGTGAGAGGACAAAAAAGTGGAACCCCCAGGGCCTCCGCTAGGCCCGACACAACTTTGAATGTGGGGGAGAGGGGACGAACACGGGGTCGAACGCGAAGGGGTTCTACCTTTTTGTCCATTTACCGTCCCTCTGCCCCCTCCCAGACGTCCTCATCGTCCTTCTCATGTTCGTCCTTCACCTGTTGCTCCTGCTCCCCCACCCTCCTCTGGTGGGTGAGCAGAGGGGGGGAAGGGGGAGGGGAGGGGCAGTAAGGGGACAAAAAAGGTAGAGCCCCCCGTATTCGACCCCGTGTTCGTCCCCCCCCCTCCACCCAGATTCAAAGGCAGGTCGGGCCTAGCGGAAGCCCTGGGGGGTCAATTGTTTTGTCTTCTCACTCTTGTGTTCCCAAATACCGGGGACCAACTTTGAATTTGGGGGGAGGGGGGGGGGTCAGAATGAAGGGTTCCATGCACGTTTTTTGTCCATCTACGGGGAGCAAGCGGAAGGAGGAAAGTGAGCGACGGGGAGGTGAGCGAGTGGGCAGTCGTCCGGCTGTAGGTTCCCCAACAGGTCCAAAGTGTGGGAAGTCCATCATTCGCAATCACAAACAGCCCATAGTTGGACGACCGCCGTGCGGATCCTGGCCTCCTCCAAAGTCTTCCAAAGGTCCGTTTTCCTTGAACTCGGTCCCCCGAAGTATAGGAGCCCATGGGCTTCCTGTGAAAGCTGTAGTGCTTTGATGGCCCACGGGTTTCCCTCGGGTCGAATGGTAGGAAAACTAAAGATTCTCGTGGAGTGCCAGCTGTCCGAGGGCTTCAGGAAATTCAGGCCCCGACCATAGGGGGGGGCGAATTCATCGTGGGAACCCATCGACGCTTCTGGAAAATTATCATTTTCCCATGGTCGACCAATTCCCCTAATTAATCCACCGCTTTTGTCCCTTTACGTTTCTATGTGCAATGTCATTTGGGCAATTGCCCAAAGTCGGCTCCGATCTCGAAGTTCGTCCCCGACCTGTGGAAACCCAAAGACCTTCTCTGAGTATCCATTTTCGGATTGTCTTTCTGGGTTCCCACAATTCGCTCTCCGAGGGTCGAGGTTCTGGGTTCCAGATATTCGCTTCCCCGAAGAATGGGAATTCTATAATTTCGAGAGGCCGGAAGCTCTGCCATTAGAGGGGCCGATTTCTAGGAAGCCCATAAAGTTTTAGGAAGATACGATTTGTCTGGAAGCCCCTGGATTTCCCGAAATTCGTCCCCCGATGTGGTTTTTCTGTTTTGCATGCGCATGCGTGACTTAGTTTTGAAGATGGCCAAAGTCATCCCTGGAGGGGTGGGGGTCCCGAAATCTCCTCCCCCGAATGATGGCAGACCCAAACACCCTCGCTGAGTTCCCATGTTTGAAAAAGGTGTATGGGTTTCCCGTAGTTCGCCTCCCCAGGGGGTCGAGGCCCCACCCAGTTTCCCAAAATTCGTCCCCAAGCATTATAGGTAGCCCATGGGCCTTCGGGAAAACATCCCTTTTTCCATGGCCGATGGGCTTCCCACGTAGTTGCCTCGATACGCCCGTTTTGAAATGCAACACGTCCCGTGTTCAAGACGTCCGTGTCAATACGTTGCGTGTTGGATCCACATAGTGGCCCACGTTTTGGCGAATGTATCGCCTCGAATCTACGTTTTCAGCCCACGTGTTGAGCTCCGTATCAATACGATACGTGTTGCGTGTTGCGTATCGGGGCAGCTGAGGCTTCCCATAGTTCGACGTTTGGGGATCCAAGAAAAAGCGTCACTGAGTGCCCATGTTCCGATGGTCGACGGATTTGCCACGACGCAGGGAAGCGAGCTTCGGGGAAGCCGGGCTGCGGGGTGGCCTCGGATGAGTTTCGAGTCCGCGCCCCGAGGTCCCGGTGGGTCGACGCGCGGGTTCCCCGAGATCCTCTCCCCCGAGTCACGGGACATCCATCGACCTCCTGAAAATCTGCAGCTTCCTATGGTGTATGGGTTTCCCGTGATCTGGTGGAGCGAATTTCGGGAAATTCTGGCTTCGGGGAGGCTCCGAAGGACTCTGGAGTCCGCACCCGTGGCAGGGTTTTCCCTTCCTCTTGCTTGATTGCCGAAGAATGGGAAACTCCTAGCCAGGCGGCAGCACTTTCGGGTGGAATGGGTGGGGCGGGACCGCGAGGGGCATTAGTTCGAAGTGCACGAGGAGGGAGCCTGAGGAATCAGAACTGTGTGGGTCAGGTTCCAGCGGGAGGCTCTCAGAAAGGGCTACCCAATCACCACCAGAGTGGAATGTTGTGGACACTGCCCGAAACCAAACTTGCTAATACTAGATTTCTTGGGAGCCGCGATTGGCCTGGCAGCCTTATGATTCGCGCAGCGGTCGAGGCCGAGTCGGGTGAAGGGCAGTGTTCGCGCTCCCTCAACCAAAACGGCAACAACAACAAATGCAGCAGCAACAACAACGACGACGACAACAACCAAACACAAACACAAACACAAAAGAAGCACCAAACCGAACAACAAACAACATACAATGACAATAAACAAAACTTCATTATACCAAATCGAAACGTCGGCGAGATTGTCATGACGGTGCAAAATATACGCCGCAGGTAAGCAAAGGAATTCTTACTCATCTTTGGTCTCTTCCGCCTCTTGGCCTCCTCACCCTCGTCCTCATACCAGCGCCATTGGGGAGAGACCTCTGTCTTGGTGTGAGATCCAGGAGGAAAAGGGGGAGAAGGAAGGTTTGGCTCTGACCTTCGCTCTCATCGCAGGAAGTTGATCACCTTGCCACCCCGCTCATTCCTATCACCCCGTTAACCCCTCTCTCCCTCCCCAAACCCCATATTCCCCCCTCTCATTTCTCATTTCTCGCTATGCAGCGTCTTGTCGCGCGCCCCGCGGGCGCGGAGCGCGCCGCAGCGGCCCACCAGGGCCGTGCGGGCACTCGGACAGCGGCCCCGGGAACCCGACCCCGAGGAAAGCAGGGGGAACCAGGGACCAATTTAAACCACAGAGGAGGGAGGAGGGGGGCCGGGTTTCTGCAAAAATAAAAAGGGGGCCCGTCAGGGCCCACGGGCGGGCGCCGCGCGCGCCCGTGCCAGCGGGCGTCAGCCGGCGCGGCGCTCGGCCAGGCCGTCGGCCTCTTTGTGGGCTGGCGGCCGCGTGGGTGGCGGCTGGGCTCCCTTCGGCGCCTCGCGCTGAGCCCAGCCGCCGTGGGTCTTCGGGTGGCTGGCTGCCCTCGGCTGCGGCGGCCTCCACCCTTCGGCGCAGCGCGCAGTGGAGGCCCGCCGAGCCGCTCTTGGGCTCCAGCAGGTCTGCAGCGGTTGCTCACATCATCGTGCCGATCCAGGCCGGCTGGCCTCGGCCCCTCGCATGCCACGCGAGGGCGACGGGGATACACCCTTCGGCGCCTGGCGCTGTGTATCCCTCGCCGAGGGGCAGGCCGCCCCTTCTCGTCAAGTACTCCATGTTGAACCTGCAGTGCTGCCTGACACTGTGGTGCTCGAACACGTATCCCTCGTACTAGACGCACTGGACGGGTTGGTACTCCTGCTTGATCCTGTCCAGTCTTGGTCGTACTGGTACTCACTAGCCGTAGTGTCCGATGTCGTCAGTCATGCCACCCCCGCCTATGTAGTACAGGAGGGTGCTGATCTCGGATGTTGTAGATGTCGTTTGTTTGTAGGGCTGAGTGCAGGGTGTGGAGCGTGCTGGTCAGGTCGTTGGGGGTCGGGTCGTTGCTGGTGTTGCGTTGGTTGTGGGCTCCCAAGGCCTCCATGCACCGACTTCAAGTGGGGGTCTTGGCTGTCCCACCTCGTCCCGCTATGGCTAGGGGTCACAGTGCCCTCGGTGGGGGCGGACCCCAGGCCTGGTACTTGTCGTCGAAGTGGGATGTCTCGGCTGTCCTGTGCTTCGCCCTCGGGCGCTCGGGTAGCTCCTCCTTCTCCACGGGAATGGTGGGGGTGGCGAGCTAGGGCGGACCGCGGGGGCGCAGGTAGTGGCCGTCCTACCCCCCCCCTGCCCCTCACCATCCCCGCTGGTGGGCGCGGGAAGTACTCGTCCTTCCCCCCCGCCCTTCGAGCCCGTCTCGAAGTTTGATCCTCACCAGGACAGCGTTGACTTGGCCGGTG